TTACTTCCGCAGCTCCTGACCCTCAATGTGGTTTTCTCTTTTCTTCTAGTTGTAGAATTTCCACTCCACCAGCCTTCCTGTAGTTCTGGATGTTGACCGTCCTGTTCTTTTATTGCGTTTCTGAAGTTGTTGTAGGAGGCAGCAATCTCGGTGTTCCCCTATGCCGCCATCTTAGTTTCTCCCCCTATGACTTCTTAATGGAGGTAATAGAATGACATGTTCTGAATGCTTAAAGAAAATATAATGCCATCTAAAGTTCTATATTTAGTGAAAGCATCCTGTAAAAATAAATGTAAAATGAAGATATTTCCAGACAGACAAAACCTGAGGGAATTCTTCACCTTAACTCTCACACTGAAGGAAATCATAAACGGTGTTCTTCAGGAAGAAAAAAAAAAGAGATGTCGAAAGGGGTGAAGAAAAGTGAAAAGGTTAAATAAGTGGGTAAATCTAAATAAATACTTACTGTGTAAAATAACAAAAATATTATCTATGAGATTACAATATATCTAAATTAAATACAATATGAGAAATCATGGTAGTTACAAGAAGGTGAATGCAGTGAAAGTGTCAAGGTTTTTACATTATAAAAGTACTAATTTATTTTTTAAAATTTCTTTCATTTTTCAGTTACTGTTGATAGACAATATTATATTAGTCTAGGTGTAAAAGTACTAATTTATGTAAACTCCTAATTAATAAGGTAGGTTGAATCTTGCAACCTCTAGAAACCAACAACCAAAGAATCCTAAAGATATGTATAAATATAAACCTGAAAGAAGAGAAAATGGAAGAATAAAAAACAACCACCAAGCTATTAGAGGGCAGGCGCTAGTAGGGAGATCTAAACATACATCTTGTTCACCTGGAGACACCTGGAAACCTTTTAGGCTTGTGGAAACCCTTTCTGTCCAATCAGGAAGTACCATCAGGAACCAGTGTAGACCCTGGGATCACCAGATAAGACAAAACAGACCAAAACAACTTTGAAAGGGCTCTGAAAATTAAACTGTCACTGCAATCATGGCACAAAAGTAGACCCATATGCTAAATCTAAATAGAGTAACTACCTGTTAAAATAAATACATTAAGCAGTTCCCAGAGTCTCCTAACATGCTAGACAAAATATCCATGATACAATAAATACTTACCTGTCATAGCAAGAACCAAAAAACCAAAACCAAGACAAAAAATACACACTGCAACTTAAGTCAATCAATTAATGCCAACACTGAGATGAATTAGAGACCCATGAGACAATAACCAAGACCTAACATTTGTACTATTGCAGCCACAGGAGAGGAGAAAGATTGGGGCTGAAAGAGGATTTGAAGAACTAATGGCTAAAATTTCCCAGATTTGGTAAAACAAGCAAACCTGTCAACTTAAGAAGCTGAGAAAATTCCAAACAGGATAATCCCAAAGAAATTCATGCTAAGACAACTCATAATTAAACTTTTAAAAACTAAGGGAAACTCCTTTGACAAGCAGGCAGAAGGAAACAATGCATTACCTATAGGCCAGCACCAATTTGAATGATGGCCAACTTCTCATCTAAAACTATGAAGGTCTAAAGGAAGTGGCACAACATTTTATTTTTCTTTCTTTCTTTTTTGTTGTTAACTTTATATTTGAATCATCACAATTAAGTTTCACTGAAGGCTTAAATCAGTAGTCTCCTTTTCTTCCAAATAGACCAAGGTCCACACTAGCATTTATTAAGTATCTGCTGAGTACCACATCTTTAGAGACAAGCAGGGGGAGGAAGGATTTCTCTCAGAGCAAAAAAGGAGTATTTTTTAAAGTTCACTAGGAAATTATAAAAATTCCAAATTAGTGTTGATTTGTAGAAATGAACAAATTCTTTCACATTTATTGGAAAATTGAAAAAGCCAGAAATAATGAAGATTATCTTGAAGAAGAACAAAGTGGGAAGATTTACTTTGTCAAGACTATAATAATTAAGTATTATGTATTATTAAGTATTTACAAATAGATAAATGGAACAGATACAGAGTTCAGAAACAGACCCAAACCTATTAAGATTATTTAATTTATAAGGATGGCATTACAGAGAAGTTGGGAAGGATGGACTTTTAAATAAATGGTACTGGACTTATTAATGTTCATATGAAAAGAAACAAAATGTTATATCACTTATAGCATATACAAATATCAGTCCTGAATGAATTATAAATCTAAATGTGGTATATAAAACATACAACTTCTAGAAACTAATATGGGAGAATATCTCCAAGCCATTCTATTTCAGGGTCTCTGTATTACTGCAGCTTAACCAATGCCCTAAATAACAAATAGCAAAAGTGAACAAGTTTTAGTATATGTGTAATCAATACAAGAAAATTAATTGTATTTCTATTTTCTAGCAACATACAAAAGGTATAACTTAAAGTTGGATCTACACAAATTGGGAAAATCAAAGTAAATTTAGTGACTAATAAGGTTTTTCATAGAAATTGACAAACTATTGTACAATAACCATGAAGGAGGAAACAGCCCCAAATAACCAAAACTAGTATGAGGAACAACAAGGTAAAATACTTTATTTACTTGTTTGTTTATTTAACATACTAGAGGCTCAGTGCATGAAATTAGTGCATGGATAGGATCCTTAGCAACTGCTGGCTGCTGGCGGGGGCCTCTCTTCCCCAGCTGCCGGCTGCCGCCCGCGCCTTCCTTCATTCCGCGCCACCCCTTGGTGGTCAATGCACATCATAGCAAGCGATCGAACTCCCAGTTGGTCAAACTCCCGAGGGGACACTTTCCATATTAGGCTTTTATACAGATAGATAGCTATAGGTCATTAATTTATTATTTTTAAATATACTTGTTTGATAAAAAATATACATGGTGTATGTTATAAATCATTGTAATAAATATTCATCATCCAACTCCAATATTACAAGTAACTTGCATCTACATACATATTTGATTCTTCCCATCACATCTCCTCTGTGATAGGCTGGTGTGTCCCTGCCAAATTCATTTTGTGGAAACCTCAACCCCCACAGTGACAATACTTGCAACCTATAAGAGGGAAATTAAGATTATATAAAATACTAAGAACTAGGGATGCTAACTTGATATGACTGTCATCCTTATAGGAAGAGGAAGAGAGATCAGCGGTCTCCCTCCACCAGCAGGT